ATGGGAATTGCTAACTGAGAAAAAAAATATTAATTAGGTGGGACAGATATTGACCCACCATGCCGCAAAGGGTTAAAAGTTGTTTAAGTGCAGCTAAGCCTAATCCTTTTTGCAATGGCGGCAATGTTTGTTTACATTTGAAACCGCAGAATAATAGATCTGTTGCCAATCTAGAGAAAGTAAGCTTTGCAATAACAAAGATAACGCTTTCTTTTATTACTGCAAATTAAATCATGCTTAATCCATTCTGGAATTTATTCGAGAAAATAAGTGTTTAAGATTTACTTCATAACTTTCAATACAGATATTTTGAGTTTTTATGTATTTTTGCCTTGTCACGAAGTGAAAACTGAATTAATTGAATGAGAAATACTGAAATCGTCTGTGATAAACTTTTTTTTTTTGTCGTTGTTTGCTTAATTTCTTTTATACATCATTTTAGATTTATTATAGTATTTAAATAGAACATGTGGCAATTATTAGATAATTCTTAAGATGATATAAAATTTATCCATTATGAGTTAAAAAATAAATGAAATGTAATGCTGTTAAGTGAACCTAGGGCCAGAGTGTGCCAGTAAACTGCTTAGGGCCAGTAAACAAACATAGTGAATTTTAAAGAGTGCATTTATTCTATTGTAGTTTATGTGCTATCGATGAAGTAAATTTAATTCAATCCAATTATTTTAAATGAAATGCAAGAAAAAAATGCATATAATTTAATATTCCGTACAAGGTAGTCATGTGGTGTACACATCAGATTTTTAAAATCTAAAAACCAGCCAAGGAAAGCTATTTTGATTTTGGACAACACATCTTCACTCCTAGACATTGAAGAGTTAAAAAATGGTATCATACGAGCAATGTTTTTACCGCCCAATATCACAGTGTTAAGCCAGCCAATGGACCAAAAAGTTTTAGTCTCAAGAGAAGGCACAAGCTATTCTATTATCCTCTCTTCTTTCAGCAAACGATGATGGTCAACGTCTTATCCAGAAATTTAAAAAAACAAATTTTAATTAAAATTCATTATTAGATGTAGTTGGATGGGTGGCGGATGCCTGGAACAAGTTAGGGTCATTAACACTAGTTTGTTCCTGACGAAAACTCCTTGATTGTGAAGGAAATGAGTTCATTGAACATGATGATGCAGAAAATGTAAACTAACTCGACATCCTGAAACGAGTTCCTGATGTGCAGAAGCCAATGAAAATGACGTCAAACAGTGGTTCCAGAATGATATTGAGCAACATATTACGTCTAATACAGAAATTATTGCTGCTACCACCCTTAATAATGAAATATCGGAAAATGATGGAGAAGCTGATGGCTTTTGCAGCCAAAAAAGTGTCAAGAACGATTACTTTGTCCTAGTTTTCTTATTTCATTTTCCCTAGCTTTGCCAGAATTAATTTACTTATTTAATTACATTTTGATAGTTTACAGCTTTTCTTTTGTGTTTGAAACTTCTTTCACCAATATTACTTGGTGAGATTAAAAGAAGCCAATAGTAATCCTGCTTAACATTCCTTCTAACAACCATGTTTCCCCTACATTTTTCAGTGGCCATTTTATAGATTACTAGCTTAGAGTAAGTAATGCTTTTCCAGGATTACTTATTTACACCACTTGGCAAGTAAACATGAATAGGAATTAAACAAGGATGATAGTTTAATTAATTCCAGATTGTACAAATTACCATTTTTTGCCACTGTTCATGGTTTTCATATTAAATGCCCCCATCAAGCCCTCCCCCTTTTTTTTTTGGCAAACTTTCCAGAATTTTTGATACACTGATTTTCTGTTTGAATTTTGATTTAATTTATTTTGGCATGCTCAATGTGTTGGAGCAGTGGCATTAATTTTCAGAGGCACAAATAATTTTTAAATAATTAACTTTGATACCCATGCGAATTTGAGATGAGCAAAAACATATCCAAATGCCAGATAAAGTAGAGATATCAGGGTCAGATTCTACCAACTTGATAAAGTTTGAATCTGAGAGTGATAAGACAGCTTTATCAAAGTTGTATTTACTGTATTTTATTTTTATATTTAGATTAATAATTATAACTTGTCAAACTCAACCAAATGCTGTTTGCTTTTTACTTAACATACACTAAATTCACACTTTTCATTTTGATTAATAATGTTTAGTATTTTTGCTTAAGTTTGCTTAATTAATTGCCTGTTCTGTTACAATTAACTAACATATATATATATATACTTTCGGTACTACCGATTGCAATAGAAAAGGGAGGTGCACAACTTTTGTAATAGCAATCCCATATCCAAAATTTTAATGTTCTATGCCTAATCGTTTTTTAGTTATGTGAGATACATACGCACATACGGATGTTCCAAAAGCATCCATTTTGAAACCATTTACAATCCATTTTGGAATAAAGAGTCCTTTAGTTTGTCTGTACAAACAGATGTCACAAAAAAATAATTAAAATGGATTTAAGATTGCTCACGTAAATATTATCAAACCAAAATATAAAAAATAATCAGTGGTAAAATACAGTATATAACTGCCTCTTCTGCCATAAACATAGGCCTAGCATTGGCCGAATGGTAAGTTTTTATGCTTTGGTAGTTCAACCCAAATTCAAATTCAGGCAAATGAGCTGATTGCATAGAAATTTTTATGACCCATATGTAATATGAATATCAGCCAGTGTTTACACTGTATATGGGAAAAGAAATAAACCACAAATTCAGTTCTCTGAACAGGTATCCTCTATTTAGGCAAATATCCTAGTGTGCTCTCCATAATTTAAGCACTTCAGTTCTCACAAATGTTATGAACGTGCTAGCGACAATATCATTGTTCTGTCTCTCTTGCCAGATGAACTGTTGGTATGATGAAACTATCGGCTTGAAAGTAGCAATGCAACAGCTATCAAATTCATTTAACTGGTTTCATTACCATCAGATAATTCTTTGAGGAAGTCTGAATTGCTAATGCAAACAGCATTAAAACATAAAGCAGTCCAAACTGAATTAATGACTGAACTCTATGTTTTGTACTTTTTCAGATGGGTATATGAAATCGTAATTTATGAAATAAAGAACAATTATGATCTAAAGTGTATCGAAATTTACAAAAAAGTTTAATATTTATTTGTTTACTTTATTAAACATTTCTTTCAATGTAAGTTGTTTAGTTGCTTCCAGTGGCGTAGCTAGGGTGGGGCAAGGAGGGACAGCTGTCCCCGGGCGCAGCATCCAGGGGGCGCCAAATTGATGTTATGAAACTTTTGAATGAAATGTTTTACATTCTTGGTACACAGAAAGGGGCGCAAAATCTCAGTTGTCCCCGAGCGCTGAAAATCCTAGCTACGCTTCTGGTTGCTTCCACAAAAAATTTAAAAAGTTCCTTTTTCTTTTTCCTTATGTCATACACAGTTGACTTTCCAATGCCATACTCTTTGCATAATTTTGAGACGGATATGCCTTCATCCATTTTTTGCAGCAATTCCACTTTTTTTTTAATGGACATCGAAACATGGTTTTGCTTTGTAGATCCTTTGGCAGCTCAAGAATTGGAAACTCTTTTCAACATAATCGAAAGTTCATGCTTAGTTTTTATAAAATTGCAGCAATAATAACACTCTGCAAAAATAATAAGCTGGATGAAACTAGAAGATTATGGAGCAATGCAGTCCACTACATTAAGTGAAATGTCTTAGAATCAGTAAAGATAATTTTAGCCTAGCTTAATAGTGTCTGTTATACATTATTGGTTGTGTATCACAAGATTGGCGATGAAAGCCAAGTGGTTTCGCTAAATTTTGTCTTGCTCTTATTGTGCACGGAATTAAGCCTGAATTGTATTAGTTTAGTTATTTACTATACCTATGCTTATTTTTTGCACATGCTTAAAACTAATCTGAGTCCTAAATAAATAAACTCCCACATATAGTTAACGCTTTATCTAGGACCTGCGCTAAATACCACCTGGTGCAGTCTCTACAGGTCCTACATTCTGCTACAAAGCGCCTTCCTCCTAAGTTCTAAATTTTCCCAGCACCTAAACTTTGCATCCCAGTGCTTTCCCTAAATCATAAAAAACTTTTCATCCCTTAATTTTGCCGCTCATTGCTTGCCCAAATTCCAAATATTTCATCTTCCCTAAATTCTGCCGTCTGGAGCCGACATATTCTGCCGCCACTTCTGGGTTTATGGTGAATAACATATCAGTTATTCTTAATTAAAGCACTAAATGTAATCTTTTGGCCTATGAGTTTCATTAACAAAATCTTTTTTAGCATATGAAAAGAAATTTTTGTTGAATTTTTTTTCGTCAACATTTCTTAGAGCATTTAAAAATCTATAATCATCGCCAAGTGTAATGTTAGCATAAAAGGTTGCCATACTCTTGTTATTCAATTACTAATATAAAAAAAGTTTAGACATCACTGCATGAGTTATTACTGAAGCTGTCATGTATTCATAAACATGCAGTAATGAAAGCAAAATTTAGACTCGCCAGGTCAGCGTCAGGGGTATAAAAAAGGTGAATGTTACAGTTTGAGATGTATGAAAAGCAGATACTCAGCTACGGATCCAAATTATTAATCTCACAAATTTATGCTTACATGATTGTTTTTCCATAACGAGGTATTTTGTTTAGTGCTTAAGTAAAATTAAGAATCGGAATTTTTAAGTGAAAATCCCCATGTTTTATTATGGAAGGAAAAATGAAATGCGCATGCGTAAAGCATACCAAAAAAAAAAGTTTGTGGCTTTGAGGTCCGGACTTTAGATCATTCTGGATAATGGACGTCCAGATTTCGGACTTCGTACTGTATTTGCAAAATGTTTAAACACCAATTATACATTCCAAATCATACATTCATCAACCACTTGGTTAATATACATTTTAAAATATTAAACTCAAAAAAGAATTTCATAAGAGAAAATAATTTTAAAATACACACATAAGAAAATAAACTAAAAAACTTATAGTTAATTAGTAAATCTCTTAGTTTTACCTGATACTACTATTTCTACTAATGTTCCTTCTGACACTTCAGATGCTGCATTTATAGGATGTAGAATGTTTGTAGATGAATAGTCATGACGGAACAGGATTAATCTTTCACTTAGTCTATTTAAATTATGTTCAGGAAACTAAAAGAGAAAGTAAAATATTATGAAACACATTTATTTATTAATTTTATTATAAATATGTTTATTTTTAACGATATTTACTTTAACTAATAGAAATCTTCAATATCTCCATTTCATAATTTACACATCTGATATTAATAAAAATTATTATTATCGGTTATTGCCTTCTTCAGAAAAATTTTGAGTACATAAACAGCAATTAGAATGCATGTTTTAGCCAATTTAGGCAACATATGGTAAACCTGCTGAAGAAATTAGTACTTTCTTGCTGAAGTGGCCAATGAATAAACCTTTGGTGACATTTGAAATTTAGATATTACAAAACAGATGATTTAAGCTTGCTAAGTTTGGAAATTAAGCATACAGCTCATTTTCACACGGAAGTATCAAGTTAGAATAAATGCACAGATTATTGTTTTAAATATAATGATAGAAAAAATTCAATCAGAGTTTTTTTTATAAAGTATCTGAAAGAAAATTATTTACAAACAACTGTTTGTTAATTTTTAAATTCCATTAACATTTAAGTATGCAGTAAACAAAAGAACATGACTGATACATAAAACTTAATTTTGTGCCAAAAACTTCGAAGTATATTCATTTCAGGATTTCCTCAACATATCACAAATTATGCAAGAAATGCTTCTTTGCATACAAAATTATTCAGTTTTAAAACTTTAGAAAATAGTCCAAACTGCAAAAAGAAATACCTTCTTATCAACAAAATTACAAGCAAGATCTTTGAGACTCTTCAAATTCAAGTCACCTACATCTACAGTTATAGAATCTCTGGTTAAACCAGCCTGCATCATGAATGTTACTTCATCGGGAAGATTAAGAGTTGGAGGCTCCATCTCTCAACCTGTGTGCAATTAAATAAGATTTTGAAACCAGTTAGATAAATAACAAATCAAGTAGTTTCAATGCTTCACTCATTCGTTAATGTACTTTAATAATAAAAGAATAATACTGAGTGGTAATGATATATCAAATGACAATTTAATATTAACTGGCATGTACAGTATAAATGTCAAACAGAATAATGAAATTTAAACTATAAGCATAATTGGATACTTCAATTATCTACATCCTTGGTTCCAAACAGTTGATAGAATTGCTGTGTTCTGGGCATTTCTTGAGTATACATGAGATAATGAATACAGTACAAAGTCTCTAATCCAGACGTCCATTATTCAGAATGATCTATAATCCAGACTTCAAAGTCACAAACTTACGCATGAACATAATGCCTTTACGCATGCGCATTTGATGCATGCGTCCACTACGCATGTGCGTAAAGCCAGTCAAACATTTACCCATGCGCGCTTCTAATAGTGAAGAAAGTAACAGACAACATTATTGAAAACGAAACAATTTCGATTGAAAAGTTAGTCGGTATTCTCGACACAGCAATTACAGGACTTGAACAGTGGAACTTTGTAACTGAACAAGAAATTATGTCTGTTTATAGAATTAAAGAGAAAGTATTAGCACAAAAAACAATGTAACTTAAATAACTTCCATTGAAAGAAATGTTTATTAAAGTAAACAAATAAATATTAAGTTTTTTTTTTTTTTTTTGTAAATTTTGATACCCTTTAGATCATAATTGCTCTTTATTTCATAAATTACGGTTTCATATTTTTAATTGTATAATTTCTGTATACCATCTTACCAGATTTAAATTGATGATCTATAATCCGGAATCACCAAAGTCCTAACGAGTCCGGATTATGGACTTTGTACTATACATGAAGCATTAAGCATGTGCTACTCTCGGATTCTTATATTTTTCTTCGTTTTTGCAAAACAATTTAAAAAAAAAAAATAATAAGAATTGCTGGTGGTCGGGAGGTCTAAACGTGGGACATCCAGGTTTTTAACTTTGTATTGTATTTAATGTAATATAACTTTTAATATATTAAGAAATTCTTAATTTCACTTTACATACTTAATTTACTTAATTTCACTTTGTAAACATATCAGCTTATTAGAACTTACAAAAGCCTAAATTAATATTATCTTATATCTGATAAACCCTTCTTATCTTTATATTTACTTCTTCTATTTAAAATACTATTTTTAATCAACTCTGATTATCGCCATTCAAACTGGCTTTAAAAGTTTTATTAATTATTTCTTCAAAAAATGTTTTTGAATATTAAATTTCTTTAACACAATCTGATTCTGCCACTTATTCAGCTTCTATAGTTGATAAGGCAATTATTAGTTTGTAGGGTTTGTTATTTTAATCAACCAGTTATTATGATTTAGCTTTTACTGTCACTTCTTTCCATTTCCACACCACAATACAAATTAATCCAGAAGTATTTAAAACTGAGGTTTTTAGACTGTAAAACAGAGCATGTTCTGCATCTCGAGGCCACAATACTAGGTTAGTTAGCTCAGATAAAATTTGTTGTCTTCACCTTGCACTGTAATTGCTGATATTGGAATACCTACGCCAGTTAGGTTTGTCAGCCAACTTCATGTTAAACTGAACTGTATAGTATTCAACTACTAGCTTATTTTAAATTTGAACTTACTATTACTTTAAGCAAGGGGTGGCCAAAGTACGGCTCTCGAAGGCAATTTGTACGGCTCATGCTTATAAAATATATGTATGAAATATGGTAAACCAAAATTAGGTACTTATGTATTAACGCAACCAGGCCAAAATTCGCATAAATTGCCAAATTTGGCAACCCTAATTACGGCAACCGTACGTGTTATAACTAGTTTTGTAAAAAGAGCATGTGAAGATTCACAAAATTTTCCTGCATTTTCGTGCAAATTTTTGTAATTTATGAGAAAATAGCAGTGTACATGGATAAAGTCAAGAGTGTGCGCAATGCCATTTTTGTGCAATTCTGGGATATTTTTTTTTAAGTAAAAATAAGTCGACGTGTACATGGTTATGGCGAATATGGTTTTCAATCAGTGCTAAAAGCAATAGCCAAAAGATTTCCGCCGAAAAAATAATTCTGCAACTTATTAAACCCTTCCGGTTTTGAATTTGAATAACTTGCAGAATTATTTTTTCAACGGAAATCTTTTCGCTATTGCTTTTAGCACTGATTGAAAACTGTATCCGCCATAACCATGTACACATCGACTTATTTTTACTTAAAAAAACATCCCAGAATTGCACAAAAATGGCATCGCACACTCTTGACTTTATCCATGTACACTGCTATTTTCTCATAAATTAAAAAAAATTTGCACGAAAATGCAGGAAAATTTTGTGAATCTCCACATGCTCTTTTTACAAAACTACGTATAACACATAGGGGTGCCGTAAGTAGGGTCTAAAGCCGTAAGTAGGGTTCAACTTATTCAAATTCGAAACCGGAAGGGTTTAATTGCTATTTTATATTTTAAAACAAAATAATATAAAAAACTGTATTAAAAATTATCTGTAATTAATAAATGTACATTTTCTTTTTTCATACTTTTTTACTCAAAGTTACAAATAGCGTCAACCTGGTTGCGATAATACGCAAGTCCCCAAAATTATTCAGTGTCCAAAAAGAAGTAATTAATTAGTTTAGACTCTTTTTACAAATTTACCAGGGATTTCTTTCTATTTAAAACCATCTCCTCTACTTCTATAATGATGCAAATATGAACTTAAGGCTTTTAGAAAATCTAGATGCAGCTCTCGAACATTCCTGAATTCAAATGTGCGGCTCTTACTGACATGAAGTTTGGCCAACCCTGCTTTAAGCTATCTCACCACAAGTGGTTCGCTGAACTGTAAGCACGAGAAGTACATTTTATGCTCAAATTCTGATTTAATAAAAAGGTTTGTTTAAACCTTCTCAAATTTCTGTCATTAACTTTCAAACTTAGAGATAAGTCTATCTAAAGTTTGGCTACAATTTGTGATAGCTAAAAAGGTTAAACTTTATAAGTTGCTTCATTGTACTCTGACTTGTAAGATTTTACATTAATTTAGCAGTTACTATGATCTAAAACTTCTTCTTTTCATATTCCTCAACAGAATGCAAATATGTTGTTGAATATTTAAGCTGAGGTAGTTATATACATTTAGCCAGGAGTTATATACATTTTTCAATAATGATACTAGAATAGTTACCTCAGTTAAGATTTCTTGTCTTCAGGTTTGCACTATAATTACTTATATTTGAATTTCTAAGCCAGTTAGGCTTGTAAGCCAACTTTAAAATTAAATTGAATTGTCTAGTCTTCGACTACTACCTTATTTTAGATTTGAAACAGATTCAGAAAAATATAATTATCAGTAGATAGACACCAGTATTTTATTTTATCATAAATACAGTCATATATCATAACACAGTAAGTAACTGTGTGCAAAACACAGTAAGTTATGACTTACTGTGTTATGACATATGACTATTTATGATAAAATAAAATACTTTGTCTACCTACTGATAATTATATTTTTCTGAATCTTGCTGGTATATGATTACCGGCATTTTCTTTTCTTCCCTTGGTTTATATCTGTGGATCATCCTTTCTTCTTTTCCACTCCTTCATATTTTAGAGTGCTGTTTACATGTAGGGCAGCTTATATTTGAGCCAACTTGTTAAAATCCTTTTTAATGTTTCCAATAATTAATAAAAGCAATTTTTATACCAAACAATGTCATTTCAAACTTGTCGTTAACTGCTATTGAAAACAATATCTTTAATACTACATTGCTTACAAAGCACTACATGTTTCTTCAAGGTAAAATCCATCTTCTTACTGAAGTTCTCTAGCAACAAGTCTATCTTTGAACCAGCATCTTTTTTGAAATTAAGTCTCCACAACTGGACAAGCCAAATATATTTATGTTCTAGAATATTTTAATAATACCTTTAAGTATATATATGCATCTTGAAATATGTCTATGAAATGCAGGCAGCATACTAAATGAATCCAGGTACAAAACATTAAGAGCATTTTAGTATCATAGAAAATACCTTTTTTCTCACTGCATCTTTGGAAAATGTGGAGTTTCCAAGGCAAATCCTTGGCCAGTTAGAGGACTAAATATTCATTTACAGCTCAAAATCTTCGCATTTTCTGCTTCACTTTTATTCAGAACTTTCGAAGATTTACTATTAATTATATATATATATTATTTTTTAATTAATAGCCTTTACATTTTCTTTTCTCCCCCCCCCCCCATTTTCTTCTCGTACTGTTTTTTGGCATCCCAACATCACAAAATCCCTAAACTTTACTAATAGTTTGCTGATAACTTTTTCCTCATTTTGAGCTTTATTTCTTATTTCCATTTATTTATTATTCATTATCTAGCTTCTGAATCATCATCTTTTAAAAAGAAAATGGTTTACTCTTGAAAATTTTCTAAAATTTCATTTCGGTTCCCTTCATACAAAATTATTTTTGCGTCTACATGTTTGTTTTCCTTCGATTCACATTTTCTTAATTCCTGAATGAAAACTTTTATCAAATACTACAACATCACTGGAAATTTTTATTTTCTTGTATTTCTCTCCAATGATTCATGGTTTATTCTATATTCAACAAAAATATACTTTCTACTTCATCAATCTTATTTACTTATGCAATACTTCCAAAATTATTAAGCTTGATTATTCAGGTCTTTGTTTATTCTATTTCTCTGGTATTAAAGCAAATGCTTCTGTTGGGCTACGATTTAATAAATAACCTGCAGTTCAAACAGCTTCGGCCCATAAATGTTTTGTCTTTGAACCCCCCCCCCAACCAAAGAACAGAACCTTTTGACTTATCATTCTCTAAATCAAGACCTATGCTAATGTTTATTTTTTTAGCCCTAAAGGGCACTACTTGAATGGGCTTATTAGTCTCGAAATGGGATTTGACGGCATATCACTTTAAGTGTC